GCTTGTGCTAGAAGCCATTGAAGAGAGGTATATGTTTCACGGTATGTTCTTTTTTGTTATGCTGCTATGCTGTTAAGTGTATCATTTGGTACAGTACAAAGTAGTCCCTACTAGAGTTGCGTCATTTCAAAAGGTAGCGTCCATCGACGGCGTCGACCTGAGTTCTCCCTCAGCAAACATGCGTCATGTGGATAGGTTGGTGTTTGTCATGGATTTTTGCGGGCTCTATGTTTGAATTCTTGACTTTGTTGCACCCGTGGTCATCAGTCCCCCGTAGGCAGCCAATCCAGGACCAAAACTATTTAGAACTGGCAGAGCAGTCCAAGACCTGATTGCTCAACAGTGCTCAGACCTGTAGACCAGCTGAGCAGAGTTCTTTGTCCATGCAGTCATGGAACAATCTCTCGTATGATTCTATGCAGTGCCGGGTGTGTTAAGGCTTTGACTTGTCTTTTTTGGGACCCGTACATGCACACCCAACTTTTTCGAAGCAAGCTCTTGGGTGCCAAGAAAGAAAGTCAAAAGTGATGAGGGAAGTACACCCAGCAGCAGGCCAGCAGCACCGGACCGAGTTTAGAACATCAGTGGAACAAACATGTAGACCAAACACCAGAACAATATGACCCAAACACGTTTGCCAGACGCTGTTAGAAAGCTGGATTCCGCAGAACTCCTTCTCACCTTTCGATTCGCAGGCGACGCACCGAGTCCCACCGAGTCCACACCCCAGGCCTCCAGGCCGGACAGTCTGCCGCCCATCGAGCTGCGCCGAAGCCGGAAGCAGAGCGAGAGCCAGAGCCGCGAGAGCCACGGCCTGGAAGGCCAATGTGGCGGTGATGTGTCGGGCGGAGTTGGGCAGAACACAGGTGGTGTTTGAAAGGTTTTTGTTTTACGTGTTTTAGTTGCAGGTGGTGTTTTACGTGTCTTCCTGTTCCTGGGATCGGCCGCTGGGGTCATGTGGGTCATGTTTTGGTTGGACGATCACCCGCTTCTGAGAAGGCATGGGGCGGCATGGACTTGGTGACCTACTGGTATGAGCCCACACCTGGCATTTATAGTGACATTCGGGGTGGTTGACTGGTGCATTCTTCTGAGAGGAGATTACACTCGACTGGGCCACCCCCTAGCAGAGCCTCCGGGAACAGCAGGAGATTTGTGGGTGGTTTTTGATGGGCTTTTCAGGTGTGGCGTTTGCCAGACTTGTAAGGGATATATTAAACACATAATATATATATATTGTTATATATTTATGTGTAAATATATACATATATACATATATAGAGACTCCAGGTTTTGCTGCTTTTGTTGTTTTGCCAAATGCATTTGGTGCAGTACCTTGAACTCAGGAGTGGGCGTTTGACGGTTGCTCATTTCCAGTCACTTTTGTTCAGCGAAACACGATCGGTCCATGAACCACCCAGGTCCGGTGGGGTTCCCTGTCAGGTTCTCAACATGGCTTGCTGCCAAGGCCTGGGAAAGGGATCGACTGGGTTTCTGCTGCAAACCGCGAAGCCCGACACCAAAAGGTGCAAGCCACTGTCTGTGCAAGCCACTTGCTCATATTGGAGTATTGAAGATCCATTTTGGTGATAACCCTTGCTAGTATTGTATAGTTTTGTGAATTATGTTGTGAAATATTGTATCTGAATGTGGAGGGCCAATTCCAAGGAGCTTGAGTTTCAAAGAGTTATTGTTTTGGTCAGACCCTGGCAATGTTGTTGTTTTTGGCCTTCTTATCTATGTGATTTTATATTCATATGTTCAGGGGGCACGCTGGTGAGCTGCTGAGACCGAACAGCCAGACCAACACTTCGTGCCAACGGTCAGACGGCCCTGTCCACTTACAGTCGAAGAGTACAAGAGCCTCAAGCTCAGACCCTTTAGACATTTTTCTGCATTCAGCCGGCTCTCCACCTCTCAGCCTCTCAGCCAGCTCCTCCTTGTCCATCCCATGGTGTCCGTCTCCAGGATGGGCTATGAGCCGCCTCCAGTGCCAGAGGCGCACACGACCGAAAGCGGGCGGTCGGTGGAAGCTGTGAGGCGCTGTTCAATCCGCCAGAAAATGGACCAACTTTGCCGTGCACATCCTCCGTACTACATGGGTATAGGGACGAAAGAGTCACCAATGCATTTTAGTAGCTGGTTCTTTCCAATGTTCCTTTGGATGTCCGTTTGAGCTGACGCGCTTTCGGTTTGCCGCGCGTGCTTAAAGGAATCTCAGACTTCACAAAATTTGATAAACAAAATTGTTGCTGTGTTGAGCCCGTTGAGCGTGTACGACTCATGACAACTCAAAATAGGACCGTTCTAGAATCTGATGATGGGCAGGAACCTCATGTTCAGCTGACATGATAGAAATTACTCACTCAGCAGATACCAGAAAGTTGGTACTTTTTGACCAGTCATGGACGTCGAAGCCCCCTAGTCAGTTTGTAACAACGCATGCCGTATGTATGCGGAACATTGCGGAACTCAGGAGGGAGACCAGGCCTTTGTTTGGAGGGAATATGCATGCTTCATGGTACCAGAGAATCAGAAGTGGTGCTTCGAGTCCGGTGTGGCCCAAAAAAGAATCAGCTGCCCTCTCCCGTGGCAGGTACCTTATCGTTCCTTAGACCTGCCACGGACCGTGGAGGAATGTTTGGGCTGATCGCATGGTGGAAGAACGTGTGGGAGAAGGAACGGACACCTCGATGCACTTGTTCCTAATAGCTCCTTGTTACTAGTAGTAAGGCCAGGAGCCCCTAGTAGCTTCTTGTTACTACTAGTAAGGCACTTGTTACTAGTCAAAAGCGCCCCAAACGTAGCGTCTTTGCTCCGTTCGAGTCGCGATGCCCTTTGCTCCGTTCGTAGCGTCCTTGCTCCTAGTAGTACGGCCAGGAGCCCCTAGTAGCGTCCTTGCTCCTAGGAGGAACGGACACCCCGGTCAGGAAGATTGTTTTCCAGGGCTTCGCCTTCGATAGTGCCACGAAGCTTGCTTTGCAGTGGGACCAGATGCCACCCGCGGCATGCACTGTCCAGTCACAATGCGGTACACCCACGCAGCGGGCAATTTGCATGTGGAGTCCAGTCCAGATGATCTTGGAGAGCACTGTAACGTTTGGACATGTTTGGAGCTACAGCTATCCTTTCAACAATAGTGGAAGCAGAGTAATCGTCTTGGAAGACTATCTGTTCACTTTAGAGGTTCTTTTCCGCTTTCAGGATTGTTGCATTGACAACTAATGAGAATTTTGTTGTTGGCTCTTGTCGATGGTAGGCATAACCGATGTAGGCACTGCATGGCAGAGCCAAGTTTCATGGCGGAGTTGTTTTTCTTCAGGCAAGGGTAAAGGTATACTAACCAGGACTACGCCTTTTCGCACACAATCAGTGGCTGCTCCACGCATCTCCACGCCCTATAGGCAGATGTCACCTCATTTTTTCCCCCACCTGCCAGGTGAGGGTTGTCTGATTTTATCAGAGCCAGTCCCGCCGTTTTCTCCGTGTCCGCACTCTGCACCACCAGACCTCAACGTCAACCGCGAGCGCTAGATCGCAGTGGGCACCACGGGACCTGAACCCGATGGAAAGAATGCCAGAAAGAACGTCACCGAATACATGCCACATATACTGTCAGAATATATTCCAGAAAAAGTGTCAGAATGAATGTCAAAGGAATGTCAGAAAATATGCCACATAGAATGCACGAATGTATGCCAGATCAGATAGATCCAGATAGAATGCAAGAATGTATGCCAGATAGAATGCTGGAACATGTGAAGAATGAATACCAGACAGGATGTCAGAATGCCCTAAAAATTGACAGATAGAATGGCTGAATTTATGCCAGATCGAATGCCAGACTGTATGTTGGATAGAATGCCACAATATATTCCAGTATATATGCAAGATAGACACTTTATTGGTGATGTTGGAGCAATATTGCCGTCGTGCATCAGCAGAGTACAATGCCATGGTGGGGGTCACCCGAAGCAAAGTAATTTTGGGCACCGAGCAGCCATAAGAGCCCCAATCCGACGGAAACACCGCGTGGATGGCACAAACCACTGATTCTTTCCAGGCCTGGAGCTGGAGTAGATACAAAACAGACAAGGCCAAGTGGTGAGCTCTCACCATCACCTTTCCCAAATCCCAGCCCAGTCCCCATGTATGACCCCGACTCGGAATAGCTTCCAACAAATGAACGCAAACGTTACTTTGTCCAGGAATCCAATTCAATGACATCGCTTCAGGACTACGAGCGCTTTGCAGCGCTGCCCGGTGGCGAGTGGTCCGACAGCTGTAAGAGGCCGGAGCCCCTAGTAGCGTCCTTGGCTCCTACTAGCGATGCCCTTTGCTCCTAGTAGCGTCCTTGCTCCTAGTATGGCCAGGAACCCCTAGTAGTTTCTTGTTCCTAGTAGCGATGCCAGGAGCCCCTAGTAGCTTCTTGTTCCTAATAGTATGTGCATTAACCCCTAGTAGCAGCATGTAAGAGGCCGGTGGTTCGGATTGGGCGTTGTTTTGGCCCAGAGCAGGGGTGTTGGTGTCAGGTGGGCAGTGGTGGGCCGCAGGAGGACAGGCTACCTGTAGCGCTACTAGCAAAGGAAAGACCAGGTTTCTTCAAGTTCCCCTCGCCCGAGGGTGGTCAGTTTCCTTGCCATCACATACTGCATTGTTTTCTAGATTTTGTGGGGACTATGTCCTGTTCACCCTGTTTCACCCTGTCCGAGCCACGACACAAGAGCTTAACGCTCGGTGCAGACACGGTTTGGAGGCTGTAGACGAAGGATGTTGACTTTGAAATCCAGGTTAACCTTGGCTATTTACAATGGTAACTAAGATTAACTGGGCTACTGCTTGTGGAAGATATCAATGAGGAACATCTGAGGTTCCGAATAATTTGTTTAGTTGGGAAAGATCAGATTGATGGTGACATACATTTTTACGGACAAATTATATAGCATAGGGGCAGTCAGTTGTTGCTTGAGCATGTCAACAATTTGTCGTGCCGTGTCACGAGCCCTCAAGCATACTCTAAGCAGTTTGCGTGTTCGTTCACTTTCAACCTCCAGCCATGCGTGAGCTCGTGCACGTTCAGGGAGGACAGTGCGGCAACTCTCAAGCAAACCACTACCTTTCATGTGTTTTGAATTCCTTTGATTCGGAATCCAACTTGTGTTTCAAATCCCTTTTCAAACTGAGGCAACCAGATCGGTGCCAAGTTCTGGGAGGTCATTGCTGACGAGCACGGCATTGACCCAACAGGATATTGGGTAGGGGCGATGCACGTTTTATTTTCCGAGTGAGAAGCATATTATGTGTATAAGAACAGCCACACACCAAAAGCAACTTAAGGCATGACTCAGATGACTCTATGACTGCTCCTATTCCTGAGACGAAAAAGAAGTTACGATGTCTCTTTTTTGGTAGTTCACAATTGCAGAGGAACTTATCATGGTGACTCGGACCTGCAGCTTGAAACTTGGTGAAGCTTCATTCAAACACGTTCAATGTGTCCTGTTTCTGGTTCAGAAGTTTGCAGGGTTTTGTGTCTTAAGTTAAGTTATGTATATAATTTATATACTGGAACAAGGAAATTGGACCAAGGAACGCATCAACGTGTATTTCAACGAGGCAACGGGTGGACGCTATGTGCCACGCGCTGTTCTAATGGACCTCGAGCCAGGCATGAGGGCACTGGGCACAGTCACATTTAATCATATGTGCTGTGTACATTGGCAGTTTGTGCACAGACTGTCGACTGTAGATACGAGATCTTGATTGCGTTTGAAGCAGTGCTTCGCTCCAGAGAAGTGACGCCTGATAGGAACCAATTCCCTATTGTTGCTTGTCCTGATAGGCACCATGGACAGTGTTCGCGCTGGACCTTTTGGACAGCTCTTCCGCCCAGACAACTTTGTTTTCGGCCAGACCGGAGCTGGAAACAATTGGGTTACTCGACATTGAAACTTGAAACGAGCTTGGCGTTGCTGGTGTCGGCTTTTCTTCCAGCAAGAGTAGAGGAGCAGCGGTGTAAGAAACATATCATAACATGGGATTTTTGCTGATGCTGTCATTGAATCGAGCTGACTGCATGCACTTACAAATCCTAGGCGAAGGGACACTACACCGAGGGAGCCGAGCTGATTGACTCAGTCTTGGATGTCGTCCGCAAAGAAGCCGACACCTGCCTGCACAGGGCCCCTTTAGCGATTGTTCTAGTGTTCAAAGAACATGAAAATCAGAATGATTCCCCTTTGCTGACATGAAAGATTCCCCCTTGGTGATGAATGAATGATGTTCAATTGTTGTTGATTTGGTGGTTCACATCCTGCTCCGAGGAGGGTTGCGACTGCCTGCAAGGATTCCAACTTTGCCATTCTCTTGGTGGTGGCACTGGTGCTGGCATGGGAACACTGCTGATTTCTAAAGTGCGAGAAGAGCACCTGGGTGCTAAATAGCCAATTGTGTTTTTCTGAAGAAAGAACATCACAATAAGCGCTGGATTTTGTGTGGATCTCAGGTATCCGGATCGCATCATGGAAACATTCTCTGTGATTCCATCGCCAAAGGTGTCCGACACAGTGGTCGAGCCGCATCTTGCCTGTCACAATCGTGACACTTCTGAGTCAGAGTGTATTTTTTTTGAATTGAACGTCATTGCAAATGGAATAGCATGCCATTCCTCTAAAGAAGGTGTGTGTTTTATGAATCGCATTAATGTCATGTTTGTGCCCCGAGCACACGAGGTACAACGCTGTCCTGAGCTTTCACCAGTTGGTGGAGAACTCAGATGAGTCCTTTTTGCTGGACAACGAGGCTTTGTACGATATTTGCTTCCGCACTTTGAAGCTGACCACGCCCACCTATGGTGACCTGAATCACTTGGTGTCAGCAGCAATGTCGGGTGTGACTTGCTGCCTGCGCTTCCCAGGACAGCTGAACTGTGACCTGCGCAAGATTGCAGTGAACCTGGTGCCGTTCCCTCGGTTGCATTTCTTCATGACCGGCTTTGCGCCTTTGACTTCCCGTGGATCGCAGCAGTATCGTGCACTCACTGTTCCAGAGCTTACACAACAGATGTTCGATGCGAAGAACATGATGTGCGCGGCTGATCCTCGCCATGGCCGCTACTTGACAGCAGCTGCCCTCTTCCGCGGCCGCATGTCGACAAAGGAGGTGGACGAGCAGATGCTGAACGTCCAAAACAAGAACTCCTCCTACTTTGTCGAGTGGATTCCAAACAACATCAAGGCATCTGTGTGCGACATTCCTCCAAAGGGACTGAAGATGGCCGTGGCATTTGCAGGCAACTCAACTGCCATCCAGGAGATGTTCAAGAGGGTTGCAGAGTACTTCACTGCAATGTTCCGCCGCAAGGCCTTCTTGCACTGGTACACTGGTGAGGGTATGGATGAGATGGAGTTCACTGAGGCTGAGTCGAACATGAACGATTTGGTTTCGGAATACCAGCAGTACCAGGATGCAACTGCTGAAGAGGAGGGTGAATTCGACGAGGAGGAAGGTGAGTACGACGGATGACAAAGGTCATCTCGCACTTGAGACCACCACAGATCCTTTTGTCTCGAGTTCTCGACCTGTCTCACTGTCTGAAGTGGGGTAAGATGCAGAAGGCATGGAGCTGGGGAGGGTTTGCTGTATGGAGTGCACAGATAGCGCACACGTACTGCACACGTAGTGCGCGTTTGCTGAGTGCGTGGTTACCACTCAGTGATAGATTTGTGCAAAGTGAGACAGATGCACCTTGATGAAGCACCCGCTACATTTGCTTCATTTGCTTTCTACTTGCTGCTAGACTTCAGGGAGGATATATGGTTCTGAACGGGTGCAGAATCTTGACAATCAACAACGGCTTGGTGTCACCTGGGTGCTCCAACCCTTTCGGGGAACCATGTGCTGAGGCCATGGTGTTTGGATTGTGCCCCAATCACTTTGGTATGGAAAAACATGGTGATAGATGGACAGAGTACAACCATGTACAACCCAGAACATGGATTGGTGATAAGCTGATAAAGTGGTAAAGCAAACTGGTACAGCATACAAAGCTTACCATTTTGCCACCAGGTCTTTGATATCTTGAGTGACACCTGCGAAGCTGAAGATTTTGTCTCGCCAGATGTGCTAACTACTTGTCCGACAAGACTCCGTACAGTCAGGGGTGAGAGTTGTTGTTTCTTTGTAAACATGACTCAGAAAGAAGGTGCACCGACTTTGATATGCCAATACCAGATGGGGAATCGGGAACTTTGGGACATGTCTTGTGTTTGCCCCACCTTCCACCAAGAGGTCGCAAGCCACTAGCCGTCATCGTGCACGTGATGGCACATACCCCAGTTCGACCACTCGACCACCCAGAAAGTTCAACTATATAACTTTTTTGGGTGCGAAAATATGTAGAAGCCAGGTGGTTAGAGTTATATAACATTAGAATTAGAATAATAGATCACCGCCACGGGGTGTCGCCACGGTCAGGCCGTTGGTGGCGCAGTTGCCCTTGGACACCTCGAGGTCGCGGTCGGAAAGGAACCATAGCGGGGTCGACGGTGGTCGGAGGAATCGATGTCTCGTGGTTCGGCGGGGTCGGGGCGTTGTCGGGTCGGGAAGTCTTTTCGCAGATGACATGAAAAGGACAACATAAAGGGCGACTTTCTGGCCACTGGCATCGCTACTAGGAGCAAGGACGCTACTAGGGGCCCCTGGCCTTACTACTAGGAGCAAGGACGCTACTAGGAGCAAAGGGCATCGCTACTAGGAACATCTAGGAACAAGGACGCTACTAGGGGCTCTGGTCAAAATCTGAGGCACAGTGTGGCACGCAGTGGCACAGACACATCACCAATCAGGGTCAGCTGTCACCACTGGGACTAGTGTGTGAATCCAAGTAGGGGGGATATTAACATCAACCAGTTTGGGTAAGCATGAATAAATGATGACAAAAGCAGTACCCGCTAAAGTGACAACACCTGAACCACTGAAGCTGAAAAGCCAAGTAAGCTCCTTGTTCTTTGCCGGGCCGCTATCACACCGGCTTACCGACCAAACCTACTACATAGATCTATACATAGTCTCCCAACCATCGGTTTTGAGTTTCGGCATTTGTTTTCAGTGCCCATACTAGTCCCCATCCCCAACGTTCATCTCCGTTCGGCTTGGGTGAAATGGACAACGTCACTGGAACCGTTCTTCACGATGGCTTCCCCAGGACGGAGTCCCAAGATCCAGGTTAACATGGCTCGGCGAACGAACGGATCGGAGGACGCTCCGAAACGAAAACGCCGCAGCCAGTGGATACTAAAGAAACACCATGAAAACACCTCACAGTTGTTAAGATCCGAATTCGAGTCAAGGCCTATTCCATCCTATTAGAAACATATTTGTTCTGATATTTGGATGATATCAAATCAAGGTTTCTCCAAGTACAGATGGACAAAATGATAATATATAGAAGAGTAAATACGTTCCAACATGGTCCGACTACTATTGTACAAGACATGCTGTACATTTCCGAACTTTCAATGTCTGGATTCCCCTTTTGGGGGTCCTGGAGTTCTCCTCGTGTAACGCGGAACCCTTTGCCTCAATTTGCCTCACCCCTATGCCATGTGTTCATGTTCATCAAAAGAAATACAGTACATAGAGACCTTACAGGCTTACAGTCCGTACGAATTATGATGTGCGTTTTCTCCATGGAAGTGTTTATTGTACAATGATGTTCTATATTCATTTAGCGGTTTTACACTTGTTGGATGGTCACGGGTGATAGAAGGGCAAAATACAAGTTCTTGCGCATAACGCCACTGACCAACTTAGTTTACAACTCCGTAAGCAATTGAAACTAAACGTTCAACAGCAAACGCGTTAGTTGAACCCCAAAGAAAGTCTAGCGGGCCGTCTCACCAAACCATGAGAGAGGTCACCTGCTTGCAACATCCACTGGACATGACACGGCCACATGATGCCGACGTCCAAGCCGTCTCACCGAAGAAACGGAAGACACCGACTCGATCGCGGTGTTTCTTTGCGTCGTGCCGCCACGAAAGACCGTTGTGGCAACGCAGACCATCGCACGGTAGACCTGATAGACCTTTGGAGCTGGAGCTGCTTATGAGAATTTGGCAGAAGCAGAAGTTCCTGAATTGCAAAGAGGAGTTCACAGGTTCTTTCCAGACCTTCTATGAACACATGATGAACATTGATCATTTCTTGTTGATTCTTGTTGAATAAGCTTCGATTTGGAGTATGTATGGCATGTGCTTACATAGTAGCCAAGCTAGATAGAAGTGATGATAAGTGATGCACGAATAGGTGCTTTCTATGCGGCTACCAAGTTGTGTGGCAGTGCGACTGCATAATTGACCCTTCTATTTCAATGTAGCTTCTGCATGTGTTTGTACAACATGCTTGTTCACTATACTCCAGAATGCAACGCTAGAATTCTCCAGTCCTTGGTCGACCAGCCTTCCGATGCTTACTGGAGTCGCGCCAGGTGCTCGGTGATTGGAACGCATGATTTAGACAAACGCCGTGAAGTGGTGAGAGTTTCAAGAGTGCAATCGCAGATGACCCAACTTTGCTGTACGGCCTCTCAGAGAATCTCATTCTCATAGACTAGACACCCTCACATCTCTGTCAGCATGACACCTAACTACAAATAGCTACAAATAGTATATACGTAACAGCTTGCTCTATATGAAGGCCTTGTTTCGACCCCAAGTAATGAACATGTTTGCGGGGATGATGGTCCCAGTGAACAGGTTGGATAAGTCCTTTCTCAGACTAGGAGCAAGAAGCTACTAGGAACAAGTGCATCGCTACTAGTAACAAGTGCCTTACTAGTAGTAACAAGAAGCTACTAGGGGCTCCTGGCAGCATTGGTCGTGAGGAGCGCCCAGAAGATCAAGTTTGGAAGGCGAGATCGAGCGCATGTCGCTCCCATCTCCCTGCTCGTCTACTCCTTGAAGGTCCAGGTGGTCCAGGAAGTGAATGACTGATCCTAACTTCACATTGGCATAGGTTGATGCGTTTCTTTCTGTTTGTTTCCAGGGTGTTGCGTCACATACTCAGACTTTTGGTAACTTTTGGGATCTCGCCAATGGTGATGTCCGCTGGCAAGCACCAGGCAACATGGAGTCCAACCATTATTCATCATGTTTGTTGATTAAAGTACGTGCTTGTAGTGCCTGTAATTCCAGAGTAAATGATGGTACAAACCCATATAGACATCCTTATATCATTAGGCCATGGGGTCCGTGTGCCTGATTGCATAGTACGCTTTCTGCCATCTACCGACTTTCAATGGCTCCGAACAACTGGGTTCGCTCGTGCGCGGCTTCAGATTTACCGGAAGAGCAGTGACTGCCGAAAGTCAGGGAGGAACTGCGTGTGGAAAATCAAAGGCACCGGGCTTGGGTGAGTTTTACGCATACCTCGTCCAAAAAGCAGGGATGGCCAAGCATATATCCAAAGCTTGTTACTCGAAAGATCGTGCCCTTTTGGCAGGTATCGCAAGATTGGTACTAGGAAATTTCTTGTATGTTCATCGTTGGACAAAGCAGTGTGTTTTGCGTCCTGGCCTGGTAGGTCGGAGCGGCTCTGTGTTTTACTCCCATAGCACCTGAAAGCGACCCTTCACTCACAGGATTGAGCAGACGCAATGACGGCCGAAGACACAAGCTTTGCGCGAAGTAGTAGTTTCATGGGTGTTGTTTTCTACTGGTATTTTGAAGGGCTTCTATTTTGAGATACACCCAAAGCGTGTTTGAACTCTCACATCTCAGTGGACGGTTTTGCCAATTGGATGCTTCTTGTTTTACTATAGTAGCCCAATGGTTCCTCAAACCAAAGACTCAGACCTGGAGGGTAAATACTTATACCTGTTGCTGTGTAGTGGTAGCCGGGATCCACTTCGGATAGTCGGCGTAGAACATCAAACAACCATTTGTGCTTTGAACAGTGAGAAGTTCCTCGCTACGCCAAGCAGAACATAGCCCCCCTTCCTTTCATTATCGGTTTTGTTTCTACATGATTTAACAGGCACCTTTGATTCATCTAAAGTGGAACGTATAAACATTTCAGATCATTTCAGGCTGTTGGATTCTGCCATGTTGTTTTAAACAACTGCTAGGCACTTGAGACTTACTAAAGTAGCCCTGCTCGTGGACATGGGCTCGAGCGTGAGCGAAGCAGCTACTTCGAACGACGAAGCTCATCGCTTTCACAGGAGAGCCAAGCGAGAAGCGTCATTTTGCCGAAAGTCCAATTGCACCAAGACCAGATGGTTTGTGACTCAAGATTGTGTCTATCAATGACATCAAGCAACTGTAGTCAACACTTTGAAGGCCGTTGCGAGAACCAGGAGCTCCCCATGTCTTGCTGTACTCCTTTGGTTGGTTGGTTAGCTTGAGTCTATAAGATCTACAATATTATACAATATGAATATGAATCATATCAATTTCAATTTGCTGTGTGTTGCCTGTTCATCACCATCCTCCATGCAAAGATACCTTATTGATGTCGAATGAAAGCCATTCAAATGTGGCATCAATCAGCCAAGAACCCGTTCAACTTCGACACTGGATCTTCTTCACAGGATGTGAGCCACAGGATTTTTCCAAAAGATCTCCCGGTCTCAGATGGACACCTTTGCAGATTTGTTCTGAGGATTCGACCAATTCGTTCTTCGCAAAGGTTACTCTTCAAACGATGAGTTGAGCCTGAACTATCTAATGTTTGATTGAGGACTTCTCGATAATTCAATACTTTCACTATGAGCAGTTGATAAAGCCGCCCTTTGTTGACCAGCATCATTCGTCTCCTCGTCTCTGGGGAAACCACCTTGCCACCCCCCAAAAAGGAAGAGAAACATCTCAGCTGAACCAGCCAGGG